ACAGGCTGCGCTGCAGATTCCAGGGCCCTGCAGCCCCACAGGCGACCTCTTCCATAGGAGCGGTACAGGACAGCGTTGCTAGCACCAGAGCAAACCCACCCGAACGAGGGACGCTTGCAGAAGCCTGCTCTTCACGGAGGTCAGAGCACTTCTCATTGTTTAGTGTTGCAGAAAACTGAGCCCCTCTCATCTTTAGCTGCTCCCATAATCAGTCTAATCCCTTTAACCCCAGCAACCTTCATCACAAAAGAAAAAGTTATATATGAACCCAAACAGGAAAAAAAAAATCGTATTTACAAAGTTTGTACAATATACACATCTGATTTTCTATGGGACACACTGCACCAGAGGAAAGAGGGCCATGGCTCTGAAACAAGTCTACATGTCAAGTGCTGTAACTACTAATGGAGACTTATGGAAACCAGTCTTTAGTGTTCTGCGAGAGCATAGGGCTTTTCTTATGGCTCCTGCAAAGGATGACAGGCTACTCTTTCCTTCTGGAGCTATGATGCTGCACCTAATCAGCCCAGATTTTAAGTTGGTTTTGTTTTAAATACAGGTATTTACACTGCGGGTGAACTGCAGATGCATATCAACTCCTCCAATTAAAAAAAAAAACCAAACGAGTAAGTTGAAGAAAAAAGTAGTATTACCAACATGTTTCACCTCCCAGCCCTGGGCTTGAGTACTTGGGGAGGAGGAGACGGGGAGAGAGGGGAACTTTGACCTGAAACCAAAAACGGCTGTTGATTCCTCGGGCTGTGTCGGAAAGGTGATATTCTGAATGGTCTCATAGCATAAGGCACTTTGCACGAATAAGTAACAAGCTCTTTAGCTTAAAAACAGATGAGTAACCAAGGGAGAAGTTGAAATGCACTCAGTCGACGGTTGAAGAATTTGAAATAGCAGACAAGCTCGTGTTCATCAAGATTCTTCTCTTTTCAGGGTTTCTCTTCTTCCCTTGCTGCCCCTCCCACCCAAAGGAAAAAAAATTTAAAACCAGCAGTTAGTGCAACTAATGTTCAATCAGCACACAGTGCAAACGAGTGGAAAAACAAAAAGACATTCCTCCTTTTATCTTCTTTCTTCCTTGCTGCCAAATTTAAAAAGAAAAAAAAGGCCGAGCTCTTTAGTCTTCATAGTTCCGAAATGAAAAGACGAAGAAAAACCCACAAAGAGAAGGGTATCCCCAGAGAAACGATGTGTCACAGATCTGGATCAAAGGGCTTCACCTTCTGGCATGTGTAATCAAAGCCTGAGAAAAGCAACACAAAACAACCAACCACAACACCCCTAGTCAGATCAATTCTACGCAAAACCAGCACCTAAGTAACGAACCACAGACTCGGAGAGCCCACTTTCTTTTCAAGCGAGCCGAACGACCTCAAGTGGCAGTGGAGATGAATTTCAGCTTCACTACCCACTTCTTTTACTGGCGAGAGTGCCATCAACCAAAGGGCGCGGAAGATGCGGCACCTTTAGCTTGAACCTGGTCCTTCGAACGTGGGAGGCACTCGGGCTCCCCTGCTGGGGCTCTGTTCTCAAAGCTACCCAAGGCTTTGTCTCCTCAGCTCTCTGAGGACCACGATCCTCTCTGCCCCTCACCCATTTCCCACCTTAGCTAAGCAATACAGAACAAATCACTGAGGGTACCAGTAGCCCTCCCGGCCCTCCGAACACCATTTCCCACTCACCTTTCCACTCATTTTCGGTCTCCTTAGCATGTGGCCAGCATTTCAATTAAAGCAACTACAAACGACTCATCCTCCCCTCCCAGCTTCAGCACATCCACAGACTTCCTTGCGCTAACAGCCCGTTTCAAACCCTCATTTTCACACTGAGCACATCTCTGGCACTTCGGTTTCCCTCTTCCCCTGCCACACTGGTTCACCCATCAGCCCTCCTTTCATCCAACTTCTCTCTTCATTTACATCTCATTTGCATACGCACATGTTTACTGTTTCTCATCCTCTACAGGTTCGCTGTGGTATTCTGCCACATACAGGCTCTTGTCAATGTTGCTCGGTATGGGTTTAATTTCAGTTCCCAACTGCTCCTCAATACTTTTCAGGTTGAATCGATCATCATAGGTGATCAAGTTGATGGCCAGGCCAAGATGACCAAAGCGACCTTGACAAAGAAAAATAATAATTAAAAAAATTGCTGCCACAGGTCTCTCCAACTTTCACATTGGTTTTTGGGAAGGAGTTTCCTACTAGTATAGCAATAAGAAAACCCAGGAGGTTCAAAATGCTCTGACCAAACCTCCACATTAATTATCAACAGAAAGTCTTCTGCTATTGCGTTATGCACATCCAGCCCTTCCTCAAGAAG